GAAGGTCGCATCGTCATTAACAGCAAGGATTTGGAGATAGGACTAAGTCGATGCCGAGTCTGGTCCGCGTGAATCTACTGTCCTAACCAAACTGAAAGCCATCAAGCGAAAGCTCCACGATTTGTGATTCGTGTGACAACGGTATTGTCTAGTCGGTACTGAGTACGGGCAAATACCGCATTGGCTGTAAGAAGTAGACTACATTGAACGCAGCGAATAAGTCTGCCACATCTTTCTAGCAACCGCAATCCAAAATTTTCAGTGAAACAAAGCGCATGACTTCACCGTAGTTTGTGTATTACTTCTCAATGGCACAGGGAGAGGAAGGTTTTTTAAGAAGCCTCAAAAATATAATGAAGGCAGATTATATTCGACAGGAAGTGATGAATCTTCTGGTCCCCATCGTTGAATCGATCGTGGTGGCGTCAGCGCATGCGTCCATAAATTCCCACGGGCGCGGGTTGCATCACATCTCGAAAATGACAAGTGAATGACAGCTGTTCTATTAAGATGGTCTTAATTAAGACAGAAGCATTCAACTTATTTTTGGAACCTCCCCCCCTACACCCTGAAGGATAATTTCGTGGTTCGCTCTAAGGTTTGAGTTCGAAGATGAACACCTGGTGGCGATGCGAGTTCGTAGCAACAGCCTAGCTGTACTAGCCGAAGTGAACAGTCAGGTGTCACTGCGTATTAAGCTTTGGTGCACTTAATATATTTGATCTTGCTACGTTTTCCGGACCGAACTGCAAAGAAACCTATTTTGGGTCATTAGAACAGAAAAACTCGATAAGACCCAGAGTCAGCAACTGAACTCCATAAATGATACCTGACCAGTTTTTTCCTTTACTTCCTGGCGCAATCTCTGGATAAAGCTTTCTGAGAGTTCATCCACCTAAAAAAAACAAGTTGATCGTGACAGTTAGGTGGACAAGGAAAATGATAACAGTAAGGTATCGGATAGACTAGATTTGGCCTGCAAAAATACGGGCAAAATGCTATTTCGTACGTTTTCATATGAGAGGATGACACAATAGCACAGGCAAGCGGTGGGATCATCAATTTTTGAAAATACTCTAAAGCCGAAGAATTTTTTCAAAATACATTTTGGCTTATCGAAAGCTTTATACACGGAAGTAGCGGATATCCATGTTGGTGACGCAAAACTTCAGAATAAGAGGTTGTTGAAAATGTGAATAGATGGAAGTTCGGCGTAATTATGAAATGCACCCGATAAGAAGGATTTTACTTGACTTTTATTAGCGTTAGAGATTGCAAGCACTAACTTAGCCCACTATAAAGCGAAACACTGCAATCCTTGGTAGACGGGCGCTGATCGGTCGGTTTTGGAACTTACCCGTTCCGTTGTACCTTGGGGCTAGTGTACATTACAGGCAGAAATAAATTATACAAAAAAGAACAGGGAGACTGGAATAGCCATTACTGGTTTATTATCCGTCATCAGCCAGCAATACCCAACCCCAGCTGTTGGACGGTAACCGACCGATGAGCGCCTATCTACTATTGCGTAAATTCCCGATTGAAACCGACAAGCCGCCGAGCCCTTGGCACGGTGGTTAGAGCACCGGACTTTTAACTAACAAGGTCGCGGGTTCGGACCAAGGGGAGCCACAAACTTCAGGGCTGGGTATGACTGTCTGATGACGGCTAATATCTCAGAAATGGGAATTTCGGTCTCCATTGTCTTTGTCGGTAATGTATTTCTGCCTGTAATTGCAATCTTTATTTGGTGAGCAACGGCCAGAAATACAATAATAGTTTCCTGGTTAGAAAACCAATCGTAATCAATCCGCGTTACAATTACCGTACTTCCGACTATGGCAGCGTTGCTAGTTCAAAAGATCGAAATTGATGATGTGGTGGACGGTCTTCCATAGCTGACTACGTTTCTTACCTAACTGTATGAAATGTCGAATGACACTAGACACAACAAAAAGCCTGACTGATCGTCGTTGAAGTCGTGGTCCTTCGAAAAAATTATGGTCGGGGATACCGTTTCGAAAGTTCTCACAAATCACCGGAATTTAGTGGTCAGAGTTCGCCGTCGCAAAGAAGGAATTTTTAAGCCTACGCTAACAGCAATTGTTCCCTGGATCGAATGGATATGATAAAAGCGGCCTCTGGAGTGCAACGCAAAACTCATGTGATTAATAGGTCTGGAACTCAGCCGTGTGGGAGGTCGATGTAAAGGGGCGCGCGTTGACCAATAATAACTGGCAATCCGATAATAATTTAGACTGTCAGGTTTTAGCATACGCAAAAACATGAGCCCTGATATTTATTGCAGCCTGGTAATTGGGCCAAACCATAATACTTCAATAAGCAGTGGAAGGCCTGATAATAGGCAAATTCAGTACGGCTTTAATTTGAAGATATGTTATAAATTAAAAACCGAAGGACAACCTAGCAAACAATAATACCCGCAATGCGGTTTGCGATTGGGTGGACGGCATATTTGACGACAAGACCCCGGATAAACTGTTCCGCTACTTATAGAATCAAGAAGTTAGTTTGACAGAAGACTGGGGAAAAAGCAATAAATCTACTGTAACTTACATAAATTGAGGGCACAGTGAGACAAACCATGTGAGGACAGGTCGCACTGCTCTCAATGTCCCAAAGTTCGAGTTCAAATCTAGTATCGGGTTTGTCAGTGCCATACCGGCGCATAGCCTCGTCATAGGACATTCGTCGAAAAGGTATTGCAAGCGGCGAACTATCGAGTCGAAATTCTTGCAAAGCAGACCATGCGTAGGAGAGGGTCGATTCGATTATTCTATATATGTCATCTTTTTCAATGAATGACGCCTCTATGTCTAACTAAAAAGGAAGGAAGTTGAGGATACACAGGCCGCAACGAAATAAAGAGCGTGTAAAATGTACAAGAAAGGAGCCTGTCCTAACAAGCTTTGCGCCCCAGCATATCAACTCATATCTCTGGACCTACGGACGGTTAATTAATGCTGAATGCAAGTTTATAAACTTTTCTCCCTGACATGCTAACAGGAAGTTTCGATTATGAAAACGAAGCAAAAATTCATGAAGTAAAGTAAAATTTTAAGTGTTCAATTCTAAGTGTCAGTAGAAAGCTTGGTTTTCGTTATACATTTTCCAAGCCAGATGAAAGTAGACATAAGACTGGAAAATTAAGTCCAGGAATATATTTCGGATTGAAAAATATTACCTGCGTGAACTCTGGCTGACGATCAGGGCGTGCCAGCTCATCCCGAAAACAGCGAGCTATTTGCATGTATCGATCAAATCCGCCAACCATCAAAAGTTGCTTGAATTGTTGAGGGCTTTGTGGCAATGAATAGAATTGACCACGGATTTGAGAAGGAACAATAAATTCCTTAGCTCCCTAATCACAGGATAAAGTTGCTAAAAATACTGCGTATTTACCCCTGGCGTCCGCCTAAAGAGACAGGGTGTTTCCAAGTCAACAAAACCTTAAAAAATAACAAAGCACAGTGACATCACCTTCTTTCTCACAAAGGTATTTTCGTAGCATTAATAGAAATTTTGAACGAAAGCGCAAATTTCTTTGAAATTCTGTTCTTCGCAAGTGAAGATATCGATATTTGAGGCCTAACTGTTCATTTACCTGCAAAAGACAATTAGAAAAAAATAATCATACTGGCGTCATATCCTTCATCAAGAAAGGCATGTCGGCTGATACAGGGCCCGGCACCTCAATCTTGCTCGCCTGAACTTCAATAAAACCAGTCGCCATCGCCTCAGTTAATAATTTTCTTTAAAAATGTTACCGGATTTATGTCTTTTTCGGGACGCAATCGGACCTCGCCTTCAACCTTTATGGCGGAGTCGCTAGGAGGGATTAGCTTTCGAAACTAGGGAAAATTATACTAAATTTAGCATACACTTTTATCGACTAGGACTTGTGTGATTCCATACGCATCTTTAATAAGCAAGAATGCGCAGGACAGTCGGGTGGAATAAAGCCAGCCACACAATGAAACAGATTTTCCTACATCACACTTTCGGAGTTCCCCACAGGTGTGGGTGCGCTGAGAAGTTTTTAAGTTCAAAAAATTATTTTCTTTGGTGTTAGTAGATAGAAAATATCTATATGAACTAAACAGTCCCGACGTTCGCGACGCATGCCGACGGAACGCGCTGAGAAACATCTACAGCCTAAATGAGGCCAACAGGGGAAAACACGAGAATGCATCGTTTTAAAATCTCGAACGTTATCCGACGTACTAAAATAAAGATACTTCTTGGCGTGACTGCCCTGAGATAGTACATGAGCTTAACAGGCACTAAATGTGACTTTTGATTTTGAGCACTCCCTTAACGAACCAATTTCTTGGTCATTGTATTACTGAACAAGCAAGTTTGGTTAGCAAATTTTGCCAAATGCTTCTTCTCGCAATTCGACACCTGGCTACTGCTGAAGAGGGCTATCGGGCTTTTTGTGAATCTGCAATACACTTTGCAACATCATCATTTCTGCATATTTTATTCACTTTTGTCTATCGCCGTAATTTGTAGTAGTTAAATCGCTGCTTTCTATGATTTGCATAACCATTGTCTTTAATACGTTTTGGTCGTTTTGTAGGCATTAATTGATGTTAGCCACCACATGCTGCATCGGGAGCTAGACAGAACGTTTACTATGTATTTCTGCCTCCGAAGAAAACGAGGAAAAAAGAATGTAATCGAAAAGGTGAAGAATTTTATTAGCATCATCAAGTAATTCTCACAGAAGGACTGCCAATGTTTTCCTGGTGTTTTGACGGTGCCCAAGAGATACCTTCACAATTAACTTTAATAAACTAGAAAACAAAGCACATCGATTGCGACTGAGTCAAACCCAGTCTGTCAAACCCACGGGCCACTGCGCTAGTCAATACACCACGCGACGACAATGTGACGCGTCAAAATTGTACTTACTCAAGCAAAAGTAATAGCCACCTATACGATAAGGAGGGACATTTTTGGAATTTATATTTATAAATGAACAATAAATAAGTAAATTGTTTATTTAAGGCCCAAGGGGCCCTTTCATCACAAACGTAGTGCCATCGTGAAAATAAAAAGTCAATAAAAAATAGGTAATTACAGCTGCGCATAAGGTCGAGGTCAAGGTCAAGGTCAAGGTCGAGCGCTGGTTTCGAAATTTCAGCTAAGT